TATATACATATGCATATATATATATATGTATATATATATATATATATGTATATATATATGTATATATATGTATATGTGTATATATATATATATATATATGTATATATATATATACATATGCATATATATGTATATATATACATATATATGTATATATATGTATATGTGTATATACATATGCATATATATGTATATGTGTATATATGTATATGGGTATATGTATATGTATATATATGATATGTATAATATGTATTATATATGTATAGGATATAGATATGTGTATATATATTTATAGAGAGAGATAACTTAAAGATTAGATATGTAGAAACAGATAGATATATAAACATAGATATATAAAACATAATGTATAGTTAGAGTAATATATTGAGATAGATAGTTAGAGAGAGATATATATATATATTTAGATATATATAGAGATATTTATAGATATATATATATAAAGATATAATATTATAATTTATATAATATAATATTTATATAAATATATATATTTATATTTATATATATATATTTATATAAATATAGATTTATATATATATAAATAAATAAAAGAGAAAAGTGAAGGAGAGAAGGAGAGAATATGTCAAACTATTCAACGAGGTTGTTACGGTTGATGTTTGTCTGCTCATTAATCTGCCTGTGAGTGTTTTCAGCTGTGTGTGTGTTTATGAAAATGAGCTGTGTGGTTGTTCCAACATCATTGGCTGCCCATCCTCTGGTCCGCCTCTGAAGATGGTGATTGGATTGACGTCATCCAATCGCAACGCACAGTCGGCGCACACCTGCTGGAGAGGAGTACAAAGGCCGCGGACTATCTTCACTCTGGAGGCTCTGTTGAGGAACAGACGCCTCTCGCTATTTGCTCGTTGTGCTGTGTTTAACTTGTGTGGTCTTATTGATTGTGATACATTCTGTTAACAGGGGTTAACTCGTATGTGCTTAGTGTCGTGTTGATATGTGTTTAGAGTAGAGTGTGTTCAGTTACCTTATTTAGCTGTGTTTTCTTACAGCTTCCTTTATTTAGTTGTACCACTTTTAGAGTGAGGTTTTGTTTCGTTCTCTATATTAGTATTTATTTCTTCTGTATGCCTTTAGACTCATTTTGAGTCCTCCTTTTGTTCGGTTATTTGTCAACCGGTGCCCTTTTGTTGTTTCAGGCTGCCTGCATGCCATTTTGTTTCACCTTGCTTTATGATAAAACCATTTATAATTATTACCAATACCAATCTGGTTGTGTTTCTTCCCTTTAGTTCCCCTAGCCTAATAGGGAACGTAACAGAGGTGCTTAAAATACCGGGAGATTTTAACATCACCAGAGTGCACCGGGAGTACAGAGAAGTCAAGGATCGTGCCAGACCGATTATTGTTGCTTTCCTAAACTTTGAGACCAAGAAGCAAATACTACAGGCTGCATGGGGAAAGAAGGAAGTAACTTATAGCGGTATGCAAATCTTCTTTGATCATGACTTTACCTTTAACCTGTTAGGCCCCGAGCCTGTTTTTCAGGTCTCAGGCTCGAAAATGACATTCCCAGAACAAATGACCACCCTTCTAAAAGGGTTAAATTAATAATCTTTTTTCTCAAAGTAATGATAAACCTGTGAGTTGGATGTAGAAAAGTCAGAATCAATATAGATGTTTTTTATTTTAAAGAAAATTCAGATTGAACATGGTAAAAAACTGTAAATTATAGTGTCCGTCCAAAAAATATTTTGTACTTATAGTGAAAACTAACCTTGGATGATGGGTTAGTAGACTAAAAGCTTTAGGAATCCAAAGTACAACATATAATAAGTACCCTGTATCAAGATTGATGCAAAACAAGTGATATTTGACCTTTTTAGACAGATTTAGCTTCTGGGGCCATTTGGGTGGATTTTCCTTATCTCTGGCCCTCCTTGTTCGATTTTGACATGTGACATCTCTTTCTGACCGTTAGAGCCAATAGAATCCAAGGGAAATCGTCCCCCACACACTCATGTTAAAAAAAGGTAGCCTCTCTGCACATGCTAGCTTAGGGTGACCAGACAGTCCCCGTTTGTATTGGCCTGTCCCCGGAAATGTCCCCGTTTTTTAATATATGTTAAAAACACATAGCAAGGTGAAATAAAACGTTTCATGTCAGGAAACGCTGGGTAAACAGACTGTGGTCAAGCCAGCCCCCACTTCGGAAAACAGTCAAGCCAGCCCGCACGTTGTATTGCGGTGTGCGAATATCCTATGCATTACGGTAGAGGCCTGTAAAAACTGCCTTCAAAATAAAAGCGTTTACTCAGTCAATAACAAATATACCTAAAAAACACACCAAACATATTCATATACTGGAGCTTAAATTAAGAAAGATGTAGTAATATAATGTGATCAATAATAATTTAAAACAAACTACGTATAACTACCACATTATAACTGAGTGAATGTAAAATGTAAGGATACAGTTATGAAGACATATCTGACATTTCCACTGGGTGACAAATTTCAATTGATGTTGACACCATCTCACAACACTCTCAAATTCTCAAATTAGATCTATTGTCCATCTATATTTTGATTATTATTTATTGGAAACTGTCCATAATCAAAGAGTCATTCAAAGTCAATGAAATACTTATTTCACTTCAGGGTGATAGCAGGACACCCAGGGGCGTCGCCTGGACCTGAAAACATTCGGGGCGTAGCCCACAGTGGCGGCGGCCGCGGCGCTACAGTGAAATGTTCTACTGCAACACTCCCCACACGCACACACAGTACACCCGCGACTGTTACAATGAAGGCTCGATAATCAGCTCATGGCATATAGGCAGGGGTAAAGTGTTATTTTTTTAAGAGTCGGGGGCGGTCCGGGGGGATGCTCCACCGGGAAGATTTTTTTTTAAAATATTGAAGTTATAAGCATCAATCTGGTGCACTTTGAGAGCAACATTAAGAGATCTATGGATACATCTCTCAACACCCATTTGAAACTGTAAACAGATTTTTCTTTATGGATATTTTACAAATCACTCCCCTTTTAAACTCTATTCTTGTTTTACTGCCATATAGACTATAATGATCATATTAAGGTGTGCCGCGGAAATAATCTTTTGAGTAATTTGTGACCAAACCGTTTGAGACCCACTGAGATAACGGCGCATTCACACCAGCCTTTTATAGTCCGGTTGAATCTAACCCTAGCCGCTTGGTTCATTTGGGCCGGTGTTCTGTCACATTATGCCTCCCCGTCATGAAATGCCCCCCTTGTCACGGGAACGCGCATTTCCAAATGACACGTTTACACCATAGGTTTACACCTTAAAACGATGTTTAAAACGAAAAGTAAACGTTCAGGGTTTTTATTAATGGTAATTTTCAGACTGTGAGTTGTTTAGTGGTAGCTCATAGTTTTGATTCTTCTGGTTTAACTTTTCGCTCCGTATTTGAGGTGTCGAAATTCATTCGTCACTTCCTTTTCAGTTTTTGTTTTTTTTATCATTATTGTTACGTCCTGTCTGTATAAACGTGCTTTAAAATGTATTGTTTAATTTTACATAGTTGTCATCTAATAATCAAAATATATGTTTACAAATGTTACATAGTCTTTGTCAGCATATTATTATATACGCTATGCATACAAAATAAAAGTGTGACATTCATGAAACTTGCTCCATTTATTGGTACCAGTCCTAGAACCATACCCTGAAAAATGCTTGACGGTGGGATTCATAGAAACATCTTTTGGGGTGGGGTGCATTTTATGACAGGCCAAACAATAGTTGCATTGGTTGAAATGACAGTGGACAGTTAATGATGGTTCCTTCGGGGCATTATGTGCATCCAGGGCACAAGTACGGTTGATCCACTGGAGGCCTTTGTACACATTGGTGGTGGTACCACTGCTGACAAATGTCACAGCAAATCTGAGAAAACAATAAATACTTGTTATGTAAGGTATGCATTATGGGATTTTTTTATGATAATAGAATATCTCTAATGTATTTCCTACTAACATTCTAACCATTCCTTAAATTATTGAAATCTTTCAAAAACATAAATGTTGTGTTATGAGAAAGAAAGACATTTTCAACAAAAATGTATGGAAAAACAAGCAAAACATTCATCCTTTATCAGTTAATGCTGAAGATGCCAAATATAGTAGCAATTACCAACGCAAATGTTATGTTGATAAAGTCTGGAAACATCCATCCATCCATCCATCTTCTTCCGCTTATCCGTGGTCGGGTCGCGGGGGTAGCAGTTCCAGCAGAGAGCCCCAAACTTTCTTTTCCCTGGCGACATCAACCAGCTCTGACTGGGGGATCCCAAGGCGCTCCCAGGCCAGCGAAGAGATATAATCCCTCCACCTGGTCCTAGGTCTACCCCTTGGTCTCTTCCCAGCTGGACGTGCCTGGAACACCTCCCTAGGGAGGCGCCCAGGTGGCATCCTAACTAGGTGCCCGAACCACCTCAACTGGCTCCTTTCGACGCGAAGGAGGAGGGGCTCAACTCCGAGTCCCTCCCTGATGACCGAACTTCTCACCTTATCCCTAAGGGAGACACCAGCCACCCTGCGGAGAAAACCCATCTCGGCCGCTTGTATCCGCGATCTCGTTCTTTCGGTCATGACCCATCCTTCATGACCATAGGTGAGGGTAGGAACGAAAATGGCCCGGTAGACAGAGAGCTTTTTCTTCTGGCTCAGCTCCCTTTTCGTCACAACGGTGCGGTAAAGCGACTGCAGTACCGCTCCCGCTGCTCCGATTCTCCGGCCCATCTCACGCTCCATTGTTCCCTCACTCGAGAACAAGACCCCGAGATACTTGAACTCCTTCACTTGGGGTAAGGACTCATTCCCTACTTGAAGTGGACAGTCCATCGGTTTCCTGCTGAGAACCATGGCCTCAGATTTGGAGGAAACATATTTCTGCTAATTTTCTTTATTTGTAATGTGCAATAGGAAATTACCCAATGTTTTTCATCCTGCTCCTCCATCCCGCAGTAAAAGAAAAGCCTGCTTAGATCATCTGTTGAGACAAAACGTAATCAATATCTTCAGATAAACCACATTGCAGATTTGGGGTCAAGGTGACCCATTCCAATTTTTGACTAAAAGGTCAATTATATAAGGACACATTTGTTGTGGTCTTTTATTATTTTGTGTGAAGAAAAGGCAAAACACACACAAACACATAGATTTTCTAAATTATTAAATCTGAGCACAGAGGAGCCATCTGCTCCTTCTTTCACTCTCTCCTTACCCTCTGTAGAATGGGAACCTGCACAATGTCATTACAAAACATCCGAAAACTTCTTTCACACTGTACGCATCAATTTAAGTTTGGTTCTCATGGTTCTTTTGTTGTTCATCACATGTATTAGCTTTACAGCTTTGATTATAATAAGTTCAAGGTAAAAATGAACTGAGGATATCAGTTAAAAGTAATACACACCAATGAGCACATTGAAAGGAGGAAGATGGGGAAATCTCACATCTTAAATAAACCGCAGAATTGAAAGGGTGTGTTAGAGTGTGACGTGTGTAGCCTACATGCCCGGCGCCGTGGGAGGGCCAGGGAGGGCCAGGCCCTCCCATTTGACATTCCTGCCCTCCCCCAATAAACACGTTTTTTATTATTTATAAAAATAAAAATAAATATATATTTTATTTTTTTAATTAGAAATAAACTGTGAACTTTTATGCTACGATGTATGTGATGTCAGAACAAAAATAAATAATCGCAGGCTACGTCAAATAAATGCATGTGTCTGTTGTGATTTGTGATTCGTCCCCATTTAGACCAATCACAGCGTCACACTCTGCCGCCTATTCTGGATTTGTTTATTGTGCATTCTGTAGACTCCAATTTCTGTTTGAATTACAAAATGGACATAACAAATTGGCTTAAAAGGTCTAAGGATTTATTAAAACGAAATGGCAATGAAAGAACTGCAGCCGATGGTGCTGCTGGCGACCCTGCACCTGCCGTTGCAGCAGCACGCCTTAGTCACAAGCTTGACCTCGGCAAACCCCGGGGCTGAGTTAGCGATGATCTTGGGGTTAATAAACCCAAGCAGGTGAAGCTGGATCGTTATCCAGGGAGATTGTTTTCAGGAAAGAAACGCACTTTTGCCGCTGCATGGTACACAACAGACCATGGCTTGAAGATTTGTTAAAAGCAGACGCAGCCTTTTGTTTCCCCTGTAGACAGTTTAAAGTGAATACGTCTTCATCTGATGTGGCTTTTACTGTCAAAGGTTTTTGCGACTGAAAACACGCATTAAAGACTGATAAAGGACTGCTAATGCATGCAGCATCAAAAGAACACATTTCATGTGAGAGTTTGTGGAGATAGAGAGAGAGATACGCGAGGGAAACAAATAAGGAAATGAGTACTTTGGTGCAGATCAGCTGGCACGGAGCCGTTATTACGTGTCAGCTGTCGTTGATATTATAGCTTTTTTAGCTGTCAACCAACTCCCTCTCAGAGGTGACTCGATTCACTCCACAGCATGTCCGAGTGTAGTGCATCGGAACATAAACCATGCCCAAGGCGGGCTAAACAGTTCATCGTCTCCGTCTCTACTATTTCTCTCCGAGTGCAGCGATGAGGAAGCTGCCATCCGTAACCAGTGTGCCTTGCTCGTGATTTACCAGTGTTTGTGCTGCCACGCACACAATGTTTCAAAAGTGGTTTCTATGTTGCCCTTTATTTGTGTATGTTTGCGATAAGTGTGCGTCTTTACGCAATCCTGTTGGCCTTGCTGTTTGATATATATTGTGCCGCAGACCCGCAGCACGTGACGGTTTTGTGTGCCCTCCCATGAAAATCATATGCCCTCCCTTTAGATTTGTTCTGGCGCCGGGTCTGGTAGCCTATATGAAATTGCAGTTGAAGATGCCTGCCTGCGATGCTTCATATGTTATCTGTTTGGAGTTGAGATACACAATATACTGTATGTAGTGACTATTTACCCTAATCTATACTTAAGCCACTGTGTTGCTTTTAAAACCCTGTTAATGTCCCTGGTCAACAGTACAAATGGTCCAAGCAGTGATACAATACAACAATTTGCATGGCACATTATTAATATACTAGGTTATTGATGCATACTTATGAGATACAATTAATAAAAGTAACTACATGAAGTCATTGACAATGTTGAGAAAAGGTAACAAACCAGATTCTCTGAGGAGAGAAGTAGCAATGTCCAGCCTCAGCTCGTGCACTGCCTTCTGTGAGGTTTCAAACTCAATTGCCTCCCCCAGTAAAATCTTCTCTGCAAACTGAAGAGAACCTTGATTAGTATATGGACTGCATGGTCTATGATTTGACCCTCAAATGGAATACAGACAAATGACCCAACAGATTTCAAGAATGACATTTTGTATATGTATAGTTTGACACAATTCAATACATCTTTGATCAAGATGTATAAAAGCAAGTCAAGATATTCAGTCTAATTGCTACTGAATTTGAGTTTGAGAGTAATGTTTGGCTAAATGCATTTCACACTCACTTTTAAGGCCAGGACACCACAGGATGTGCTGTCTTGTTGGCGATTATGGGGGAGGGTACTGCATGTCCACCTTGACACCTTGCAGCCTTTCATCCTCATAAAGGCTCACAGTATGTAGATAGTACATGTGTCAAGATGCAGCACATCATTGTCAAAAAACTCATACAACACCGGAACTAGTACACTGTGTCAAATGTACCTTGTAGACTGTAGGCACACCCTCATTTTGCCTTTCCCTTCTCCAAGTGGATCCAAGAAGAGGGTTTTCTTCTCATGGGGGTACATTACCTTTTATTATTCACATGGAAACACAACATGCATTAGGCAGGAACCATACATTACGCAGGTACGATGTAGGGTATTGTTTAGATGTTATCAATAATAAGTGACAGCATGTATGTGTGGCCCGGTTATCTTGCAAATTACTAATTATATATGGTGTATACAGCACTATAGATACAGATTGGAGCTTAAAATATGCTCCTATTCTCACCACCAACATCCAGTGATGGTTCTCGTTCACAATTCCCACGATGACTGTGTGTGCCATTGGATCAACCTGAGAGTAGTTGCAAAAGTATTACATTCCTGTTGAAAAATGCACATTTGCAACATTTACAAATGCAAAGTCATTCCAATCATGTACATACCTGGATTCTTCCAAATTTGTGTTTCCAGATGGCGGTCATAGTGTAGCTGGCAATAACAGCTGCTTGACCGTCATTGAGCTGGTTGCATTTTCTTACAATGAGTGTAAGGTAGGCATTGATCACCTTTGAGAAAAATGATCACATTGTATTAAAAAGAGGCATGTTTACTGTAATACTATCAACTACATTGTTGTAACGTCACTGAATTAATAAATGGAGCAAGTTTCATGAATGTCACACTTTTATTTTGTAAGATAGCAAGGGGGGGCATATTGTGATGGACAGGCCTGTCATAAAATGCCCCCCCACCCAAAAAGAGGTTTCTATGAATCCCACCCTCAAGCATTTTTCAGGGTATGGTTCTAGGACTGGTACCAATAAATGGAGCAAGTTTCATGAATGTCACACTTTTATTTTGTAAGATAGCAAGGGGGGGCATATTGTGATGGACAGGCCTGTCATAAAATGCCCCCCCCCCCCAAAAAGAGGTTTCTATGAATCCCACCCTCAAGCATTTTTCAGGGTATGGTTTTAGGACTGGTACCAATAAATGGAGCAAGTTTCATGAATGTCACACTTTTATTTTGTACGCATAGCGTATATAATAATATGCTGACAAAGACTATGTAACATTTGCAAACATATATTTTGATTATTAGATGACAACTATGTAAAATTAAACAATACATTTTAAAGCACGTTTATACAGACAGGACGTAACAATAATGATAAAAAAAAAGATTAAAAAAAACAAAAACTGAAAAGGAAGTGACGAATGAATTTCGACACCTCAAATACGGAGCGAAAAGTTAAACCAGAAGAATCAAGACTATGAGCTACCACTAAACAACTCACAGTCTGAAAATTACCATTAATAAAAACCCTGAACGTTTACTTTTCGTTTTAAACATCGTTTTAAGGTGTAAACCTATGGTGTTAACGTGTCATTTAGAGGTGTACACGTGTCATTTAGAAATGCGCGTTCCCGTGACAAGGGGAGCATTTCATGACGGGGAGGCATAATGTGACACAACACCGGGACGCCAATACGGAAGTGCCACACACTGCAGTTCATATATTGGCCGATAGGGACTGGTTGCAGAAAGGAGCAATTTCCATAGACCCCCATGTTAAAATGCCCAACTTTACAGCAGAAAAAAACATGTTTCTACCCATGGATGCAATAAATATTATTATGAACATAGTTAGGGTCCACCTTCATGATTATGGATCTGTGAGTGAATTGTATTCTAACACGACCCTTTTATTTATATTAGGTCTTAAAGTTTTTGCATAAATTAGGGCGTGGTCACATTGAGTGACGGCTCTGTCAAGTGCCTGCCGCTGTTAGCTTCTTGTCTCTCTGCTAGCAGCTCCGTGAAGCTAGCTACAGGGACTCTGCCTGCTCAGCTCATCCAGGGAACACAACTTGAAGCCGGCCGTGGTTGTTTGTTCTTCATGCTTATATATCGGACTATTGTGACTCGCTCTGCGGTTAAAACAGACGGTGCATGCATGCGGTTTTGCGGTAAGTGAAAATCGAGTACTTATTTATGTGTTAATGATTTTAATCGGCTACGTAATGAATGTTAAGGCTTGGTTTAGTGTGTAAGCGAGTGGTAGCTACATTGGTGCTAACGATGCTAATCGTAGCCTCCAAGTTAAAATCATTGACTGTATATAAAGGTTAAAACGAAATAGACAAGTGTTAAGCGTTAAGTGGGATAATACTGTAGAACAAACGGCTTCTGTTTGAGGTTGATAAAATAAGGTCATCCTTGTAACTTAGAGAGATATTGTATTATGTAGGTAGGAACTGTATGCATCGCTAAGGTTAATTTAAATTGGCTATGCTCAAGTATGTAGACAAGCTAACGTCGAAGTAGTGTATGTGAAATCAACCTCACAATAAGATGTGTGTATATTACAATTATTAATGTCATATTTCAAGATGATTAGTTAGATATTACAATATGGTTGGTTGAGCTGGAGTTCATTATCGAGCTTACACGTTAACGTCACAGTCATCTGAAGAACGAACCCAAACCTTGTTGTTTTTATTAATTGCATTACCAAATGGGTATCAAATAAACAGTAAGCATTGGTAACACAACTTCCAAAGTTACAGTAAAATAAAAAGGACCCTGACTCGGACAATACACAATCCAACATGTTCAACAGAAGATAATCAGTTATTTTGTTTGTACACATGGTACTTTACATATATATCTGTTTGTCCAGGTGATGCAGACAGGCTGGACCAGAGAGTGAGAGGCAGAACTGGACTCCTCACAGCAGTGAACTTCAGCACAGGTACAAAGACTCTATTTTTACTGTACAAAGAATCAAGAAAGATATTGGTTTAAATCAGGGGTGGGGAACCTTTTTCCTCTCAAGGGCCATTTCAATTTTTTCAACATCCTCCGAGGGCCGTACAAATTATTGACCTCTGCTTAAATAACTAAAATCACAGCCCATTCATTTTGCCTTTCTTTCATGCTGTGCAAAGAAAAAGCCACCTCTTAATCCAGTTATCTTACCATGACTTGCGTATGCATGCACGTGCATGGTTGTGGCATGACCACCAAAACAGAAAGATATGGACACAAGATGTGTGCAAATGTATTTAGTTTCATATCCATGTGGAAATGATTTAAGTGGTGGGAGACCTAACCTCCTCTAGGGGGGCCGGAAGGTTTTTTTTTTAAATGTTGAAGTTAAAAGCATCAATCTGGTGCACTTTGAGAGCAACATTAAGAGATCTACAGATGTAGCACTCCAGATCAGACTCAGATGGGTGTGTCCCAGTCAAAAGCCCAGCGGATGCCAGCGGCTGGGGGTGTTGCCAAATTGCTAGAGGGCGTTGCCCAATTTCCCCATTTGTTCAATTACAGGATTTAACCATGAGATGGCGCTTCATTCACAAAATACACAAAGACAACTGTTTGCAATGTTTGCAGCTCTGCAGTTGTGTTTGCTGAATACTGTAGCATTTAATCACTTATTTGTTACTGTATGGTTTTCACAGCTACTATATTGAAAAAACATCAATATTTTAGATCAAATAAAGTATATAGTTTGCTTTATGCAGTATATTTCTTGTAATATTGTTGGGGTGTTTTTACACAGTACAGTAGATTGAAGTAAATCAATTTATACATTAAGATAAGATAAGATGGACCTTTATTAATCCCGTGGGGAAATTCAGTAGTTCAAACAGCAACAGGGTGAGAGTGAAAAACAGGACAGCACAGATTCACACAGATTAATAAAATCAAAAATAAGCGATACAAATAATAATAATGAGAAACTATGAAATAAGAAATGAGTAAAACTAAAATATAATTATCATATATTATAATGTATTGTATTATTAAGTAATATCATACATTAACCCCATTATTGCAGATGCCACATTGAATGGATGAACACATTTATGCATCAATAATTACAACAGAGTATTTCTAAATACAAGTTGTAAAAATACTTATATGTATTTAATATTAACCCTTTGGAGTCAACCGTCACGCCGGCGTGATCAGATCACATGTGCCACATAATAACAACAGTCCGGACAACATTGCCGTGTGTTTCTGTCGAAAGTACTGGCTTGAAACTATATCCCAGTCTTTGTTTCATGCAAAAAGACCCAGTAAACACGGAGAGACGATGATATAAAGTTAATACATTTCAAAAGTATGAAAAATGGAAGCACATATTTGAATATATTCGCCGCATTTGATCATTTTACGAAACGGAAAATACTGGAAACTGTAGATCCTGCTCAACAGGATGTATATGTGTATTTCTGTCGAAAGTACTGGCTTGAAACTATATGCCAGTCTTTGTTTCATGTAAAAAGACCCAATAAACAGACAAAAATAAACACGGACATACGATGATATAAAGTTAATACAGATATATTTCAGAAGTATGAATAATGGAAGCACATATTTTAATATCTTCGCCGTATATGATAATTTTACGAAACGGAAAATACTGGAAACTGTAGATTCTGCTCAACAGGATGTATTTACCAGGGAGGGGGTGAGGTAATCAGGTAAACGGAGTGATACGAAATGAGACGAAGAGAGAACTCTGAACGTGAGTCAAGCTTTAAGCTTGTTTTTTGACATGGAGGAGGAGGAACCTGTGATGTTGCCCTCTGTCGTATTGACAGAAAGCGCTTTGAAGCGCGGCACAGATAAAGACAGAAAAAACTGATTTTTGTACATAATGTGTATATATATATTTGTATTATATTTATAATAACACTTTTGCCTTATCAGAATGAAATCCCATGCTACCTCAATCAAACTTTCACATTATCATAGTAACATCCCATGTATATATTTCCAGCTTTTAAATGGTTTCGTTGTGTATGTTTGTGTTACATATGAAAAATAA